CGACAAACGGCGCCGCGCCACCTCGCTCCGGCCTCGTGCGTCCACCGCCATCGTCGACGCTCGGCGACCACGCCATCGATGCGAGCGCGCTCTCGGAGAAGGAGAAGAAGGACATGAAGAAGAAAGAGAAGAAGAAGAAGCGAGACCGCGAAGATGCCGAGACGCTCAAGACTGTGCTCTTGCCTTTCCTCCAAGAACTCAAGGGCATGACGTGGAAGAGTACGTCGTCCTCATCTTGTTCCTGCAGCAATGCACTCATTTGCTACTAGCGTGGCGCATCAACGGCAAGCCGGGCAACCCGTTCATCGAAAAGTACACGCGCGAGAACTGCAAGAGCCTTGGCGTGCCCAACTACTTTGACTTTATCCAAGTGCCCATGGACCTCACGCGCATTGGCGAGAAGATCCAACGCATGGAGTACGTCGAGCTCTCGCAGCTCACGCAGGACGTCGCGCTCCTCGTCAACAACGCCAAGACGTTCAACCCCGCCGGCACGCCCGTGCACCAGATGGCGCTCGACTTCCAAAAGGTCTACGACGATAAGCTCGTGCAGTACAAGACCATTTACGACGACGTGCACGCGGACCGGAAGAAGCGCAAGAAGGAGAAGAAGAAGAAGAAGGACAAGAAGAAGGACAAGTAGGTTTCCCGTAAGTTAACACCGTACTACGACACATGCATGTAATATCGACCTTTATATGGCGTCGCCACGGAGCCCGGCGCGCTCGTCGTCCGACCGCAGCGCATGGAGGCGGCCCAGGCGAATGGACGGCGGCACGATGGGCACCAAGTAGAGCCACCACTCGTGACCAAAGTAGACGCGCAGGTTCGCAGCAAAGCCCAGCGTATTGCCGCTACGACCGGCCATAAAGTCCAGCGTCGTCTTGCCTTGCGAGAGGAGGTAGAGATGGAAGAGACAGTACCCGCCGAGGAGGAACCCAACGCCAAAGCTCAGCACGGTAATGAACGACACAAAGAGGCTGCGGTGGCCTGTCGAGCCCACGAGAAGCGACGCCGACCAGAGGCACGAGAGCGACGTGTAGAAGAGAAAGAGGATGAAGATCTTCTTGGTGCGCTCGCCGACGCAGTTGGACGTCCATGGACAGTGATGGTCCATGTGCGAGATGCAGCGCATGCAGACAGAGCAGTGGTGGAAGCTCTCGGGCTTGACGCAGTCGCATTTCTCGCAGTAGCGCGCTTCGGTGTCGGCGTCACCGTCCTCGGGCGAGAGGAGCGCGGCCACCGAGAGCGATGGTGAGATGAAGATGGCGCCGGCGTAGGACACCACCATGAGGAAGACAAGGAGGCCCTCGACGACGACGTCGCCGGCGTCCAAGCCATGCGTCGTCGCGATCGCGAGCGCCTTGAGGGCCATGAGGCCGACCGCGATCCCGACGAAGACCTTGGTCATGGGCGGCTGTGAATTAAAATACAATCGACCAAATCGCAATACAACCGCCTATAGCAGAGTGTCTATTTATAGAAAGCGTGACGCCACTCTTTGTGTTTGTATGCAGCTTTTTGTATTGGTATTCTATGATTCTCGAACGGCCCATGCACGTTTTATTTTACTTTTTATTATTATTATTACGACTCCAAAATTACGTGGCACGCTTTACGGCGTCTCGCTCTCCTTCTTGGGGCCGCGCGGCTGGCGCGGGCGCCGGGGCGCCGACGACTTGGTCGCACCTCCCTTGGCCGACTCGCCCGTCGGCGACGGACTGCTGCTCGACGGCTTGTTGGCGCTGCGCTGAGGGCGGGGCTTGGGCGCTTCACCTGCGGCCTGTGCCGCCTCCGTCGTCGCCTTCGGCTTGTACTGGCGGCGAGGCTGCTTGGGCTTCTCCGCGGCGCTGGCGTCGACGGATGGCGCCGTTGCCGGAGCATTGTTGCGCGGCGAGTTCTTGCGGCGGTTGCCAGAGCTGGGGCGCTTGCCACAGGCCGCGGCCGCAAACGACTTAACCGGTGCCGTAGACTCTTCGGGCACGGAAACTTGGCCGTCTTGAGGAGTTGTGACGTCGTCCGCGACCACGGGGGTTGCGTCGGCGACAGGCACATCGATCACAACGTCCGGCTCGGCGAAGAAGTTGATCTGAGGTGCTTCAACAACCGGCTCGGCGACACGGACAGGGTTCACAAGACGGTCGACGGCTTCGCGCAAGTCGTGGTACGACATATCGCAAACGAGAACCTTCTCGCTCTGGGTCAAGTAGCGCTTCGCTTCAACCATGGACTCAGCAAGGTTCTCCTTGAACGCAACCTCGGCAGGCGGGCGCGTGCCACCCATGAGCACCTTGACAAAGTAGTCAAGCGCAATCGGCACGTCGTGGCCCAAAGCTTGGTGCAAGCTCACGGCGTGGAGGAGCTTCAAGATTTCGCCGACGTACTCCATCTTCTCCTCTTCAAGATCGTGGGTCTCGACAGCCGGCGCCGTCGGAGCGGGCACCGTCTCTTCTTTGACTTCAGCGACGTCTTCGACGACGGCGACAACGTCTTCAACGACGGGCTCCGCGTCGGCAGGGGTCTCGACCTTGGCGGACGCCTCGGGCAGGATCGTCGTTTCGACAAAGAGCACGCGGAGCGCTTCAAGCTCGGCGTACATCTTCTCGACAAGGGTCTTGTTGGCAAGCACCTCGAGCTGCTGCTCGTTGAGCGTCTTGTTGGAGCCGACCATGGACTCTTCGAGCGACTTGATCTTCTCTTGCTTCTTCTTGAGCGAGCGCAGCTTCTTATTGAGGAGCACAACGTACGGGTGTTCGATGGCCGCGTAGTCGATGGGCGCGGGGGCAGCCTTCTTCTTGTTGTTGGCCTTCTTGTCGTTGGTCGTCGTCGCGCGTGCCAGGCCCATCGTTGCGTGCTTCGGTCGCTCTGTGACTGGCGAATAAAACGTGAAATGACCCCGCGATGTCTCCACACAAAAACCCTCTGCCAATCCGGATACGGATGCCCATCCGGATACGGGGCGTTCCACAAATCTTCGCCCCTTGGCGACGAAAAAGAACCTCGATCGCGCGGAAGTGGGTTTATCCGGATGCATCAACTGTCGCAGGTCGTCCTGGTAAGTGCGCCTGGCATCTGCCAAAGACCACACAACCAACAAGATGAGCACGGCCAAGGTTGCCGCTAAGCAGGCCGCCAAGGAGCTCCTCGCGCTGTGCGCCAAGGACGGCGTCCTCGTGCCCACGGACCCGATGAACGCCATGATCCAGGCAGGCACGATGCTGAATGCCACGCGCGAAGACGGCGCGTACAACCTCGACGCGGCCTTGAAGGCGATGACCGACAAGTTTGGGGCCAAGGCGCCCGAGGCGAAAGCGACCAAGAAGCGGAAAGCGCCGGCCAAGAAGGCCAAGGACGGTGACGAGGCCAAAGACGCCGGCGACGATGAGGACGACGGCGAGGCTGTGACCAAGAAGAAGAAGATTGCGCAGGCCACGAACGAGAAGAACCAGGCGCTGGCCGAGGCCTTTGCCGAGCTCGCGGGCTTCGAGTTCAAGCGCGGTGAAAAGTTCAAGGGCGGGTCGTACTCCAAGGTCGCCAAGGCCATCCGCGACGCCGAGGACAAGATCGAGAGCGGGAAGGCCGCCATGAAGCTCAAGGGCATTGGCAAGGCGAGCGCGTCCAAGATCGACGAGTTCCTCGAGCATGGCAAGATCGAAAAGCTCGAAGAGTACCGGGCAGGCAACATGTAATCGTTGCTACTAGTATGACAGTAATACGCGTTCTTATCTTGGCGCCAAACAAGACACAGGATATAGTGTGTGATGGACACACACTCTGGATTGTCCGGATAAACGTAACAGTGGTAAATACGCGCTTTGGCATGGATTTCGCCGAGTCGTTCCTCGCCAACCTATACGACGAGGAAGAGAAGCATGACGACCGCCCGCCGCCTGGAGCCTCCAAGAAGAGGAAGCTGACGTCGCCCCGCGAGGCCAACCCGCGGCTCCACCTCGCCTTTGCGGCGGCGCCGCTGCTGTCGCCCATCGTGCACCGCTCGGCCATGCCACCGCCCAAGGCGGTACGGTCGATCTTGCATGCATGCACGGAATCATGGCCTTGCAGGTGCCAGACGAGGCTGCGCCGCTATGCCTCGGCAAGCTGGAAGAAAACCGAGACCCTGCCAACTCGTCGCTCGAGACGTCCGTTAGCAGCGTCGGGTCTCTGGTCCGACATACGACCCGCTCACGCTATGTCCTGATGGGTGCGTGCTATGTAGGACAATAATCTACTGGCCGACTTGCTGCCGACGGGTGCAAGTCCGGCGCTGTCGAGTGCGAGCCCGGCACTCGTGGCTAGCAAAGACGCACCGACCATGGACGCGTTCGAGCTGCCGCCGCCGATTCTCGCCACACCGCCGAGCATCAAGCCCGTTACAGAGACGTTGGTGCTACCGCCGCCTCTTGCCGTCGTCGTACCTGCGACAGAAGCCACTGGAACAACAACGGCCGACGCTCCTGCGACCGAGGCAGCTTCCGCCGTCGCGCCATCTCCTGCGACCGCGCTGCGATCCACTGAGAGCACCCGGAAGGTGTCAGAGGACGAAAGCGTGGTTAGTGCTAAGGCTCCTTCTTCGGTCGAAGACGACGACGACGACGCCGATGCGATTGCAGCTCAAGTCGAGGCTGAATTTGAAGCCGACGAGATCGCTGCCGAGGTCGAAGCCAAGTTTGCCGACTCGTTGGCAACAGACGACAACAAAAGTGCGACGACGACGCCGCTCTCGGACGACCATCTCAATCAGGTCAAGCTCGTGCTCAAAAAGTCGATTGCCAAGCAGCACGCGAGCAGCGGGTCGTCGCTCATCGGCCTCGAGACACACGTGGCGCAGGTCGAGAGCCTCCTCGAGCGCACGATCGTACATGGCGAGAACCAATCGGCGCTCCTCGTCGGGTCCGTCGGCAATGGCAAGCGCAGCATCCTCCAGAAAGCCGTGCACCAGCTGCAAACCGCCTATGCGCACGCGCACCCGTTCCACGTCGTGCACCTCAGCGGCAGTCTCTTCAGCAACGAGATTGAGGCCTTTCGCGAGATCGTCCAGCAGCTCTCACCGGACGGCGCGATCGGGCAGCGCGTATCTCCGCCTTGCAACCTCTACGATCTCATTGTCGATTTTTGTGTAGAGCGTCGCGTTCTTCAACATGTACGACTTTATGAAGCAGCTTTTGCTCGAGAAGGCGCTGCTGAAGGAAGCCGTCATCTTTGTCCTCGACGACTTTGACGCGTTCGTGAGCGAAAACAAAGCCAAGCAGCTGCTCATGTACAACCTCCTCGACTGGATGCAGGTGCGAGATGACCCTACCCCTTGCCATCCACGACGTGGGCATGTAGACCAAAGACGTGCGCATTGGTCTTCTGGGCGTCTCGAGCAACTTCAACATTACCTCGCAGCTCGAGAAGCGGGTCAAGTCGCGCTTCTCCAACTTTCAGATCGTCGTGCTCCGACAGCCGATGAAGAGCATCTTGCAGGTACCGTACGAGCCACGCGCGTCTCGGTACAGACCCTCGAACGCTACGTACTAGCTGCTCTGGATGACGCTGCAGCTGCGCGCGCACGAGTGGCCGCTCTCGAACCCGCCGCCAGGAGCGTACTTCACCGCGTACGAAGAAGCGCTGCACTTTATACTCTTTGACGCGGCGTCGTCGCTCTTGCCAGAGCTGCAGTACTGGTACGACCTCGGCAAACCGACGCACGTGTTTCTGCGCCTCGCCCACGTGGCCGTGAACGCGCTCACGCCGACATCGCCGCTCCTGGGATGGAGCCACTTTGAGACGGCGATGGCGCAACTGGCGCCGCGCCACCAGCTGCAGACGCTCCAAGGTACCGTCCTGCAGAGCGAATACGTGCAATCGACCGAGTAGGTATTACGACGCGGGAGCTGACGCTGTTGCTGGCCATGATTGCCCTCGAGCGCGTCGGGCGCAGCTCGTACTCGTTCGAGATGGTGTTTCAAGAGTGCAACCTCTTTTACCGCAAGCACTCGCTCAAGTCGCCGGGGCGCCTCGACGCGCTCAAGGCGCTCGACAATCTCCACTCGCTCCAGCTCATTCACCACATCTCGGGCTCGACGACGGCCGCGCAGCAGGTGCAGCCCGAGTTCCGCCTCCTCCAGCTCACGCTGCGCGCGTCGGTGATTTTGGACGCGATCAAGCACAAGCGCATCGCGTGCACGACGCTCATCGAGCAGTGGGCGCTCAACGGCTTATAAATATTAAAGAGCGCTAGAGCACGCAGAGCGTCTGAAGAAACGACACGACGTTGTGGTGGCCGCGGTGCAGCGCCATCGTCGTCATGGTCCTCTCGTCGTATCGGAGTCCCCTGGCCGACGAGCGCAGAAGGAGCTGCAGAATGGCCACGTGTCCGTGGTACACGGCGATCTTGAGCACGGACTGGAGCGTGAGCGGCGACTGTCGCGGTAAGAGCCACTGCACCATGGCGACATGGCCCGCGGCGGTCGCCCGCTCGATTGCAAGCGCGCCGTTCCATTGCTGGTGCGGATGGTGCGCACTGAGAACGACGATGATGTCAACGTGGCCGTGCGATGCAGCCCAGAGATACCCGTTCGAGGTGCAGCCTTCGCTGCGTTCCTTGCAGAGGTACTTGACGACGCCGAGGTGGCCGTTCTTGGCCGCTTGGTCGAGCGCGTCGACTGTGCACGCGGCGTGGCGGGTCTCGTGGAGGTAGCGGACGGCATCGATGTGACCGTGCATCGCCGCCCAGTCCATGGCCTTGGGCGTCAGCGCACCGTGGCCGCACGACGCGAGGCGGCGCAGCATCGCCACGTCGCCGACCTTGCTCGCGTAGTCGGACACCGTGTGCGGCAAGCCGAGTTGCTTCCACGCGGCAATGAAGGCGCGGGCGGCGAGCGGGACGCCGGGCTGGTACGCGAGGACGCGCTCGACGAGGTCGGCGTTCGAGAGCACAACCAAGCAGCTCATTATCGGCAGAAGCGAATCTGATTGCCTTGCGATCTTTGCCGCGGCCAATCGCCCGCCACTTGAATCAAATCCGCGCCATGCTTTGCCTTTGATTGGTCCAACGACGCGTCTTTTGGCCAATCCGAGTCGAGGGGCCACTTCAACTTGCCACTCCAATTCTGGGTCTGTGTGCGAGCGGGCGAACTACAGTACCTACTGTGCGAGGCTTCTGCGCACGTACATCTAATGCACCAGGTTTGAGAACTCGGTCGCTCACAGGGCGTCGGCGATGGCCCAGACAGATTGTGCAATGTTACACTTTGTCTCTGCTCCACAAAAATGTATCTCGAGGTCGGTGTATTCATAATTTGAACCGAGCTCCGCGAGACGGTTGTTCCTTGTGCTTCGACGTTGCTACGCACGACGACCTGGTCTGCGATACGACGACGCTCTGCTTGCGGTCGCCCCTCGAGAGCAATCCGGTGCACCAATCTGTCTACTACACGCACTACACACACACACTACTCACAACCGACATGACCTTCAACACCGTCTCTGTCTTCGCGTGTTGAGTAGAGCTCTCGAGACAGCTGCTGCGTCGTAGACGAGACCTGACACCACAGGTCACCGCCTCACCGCCTGGATCTCGGCGTTCGCTCTCCGCGGCTCGTCATCGAGGCGGACGTTCGGTTTGGGATTGCACTACACGCGTGTCGCCAAACGAGCTCTCGCAGTAGCAGCAACGAGAAGCTCTCGCAGCAATACACCGGTACTCAAGTTTACTGAATTTAAAAATGAAAAGTCACGGTACATGTGCTTGTGCAATGCGTGCCACGGGATATTTTATGATTCCCTTGCTACCAAACCTGGAGAACGTGTGGTGGTCCGTATCGTTTCGCCTGCGACGGCTCGTATTACGCCGCACGACATACACTCGCAAGAGAAGAGGAAGCACCGCAGCGACATCGATAAGCACCGAGTCCAGCTGACAGACCAACTAGGATACATTCGTGCGTAGCGTTTAACTCGATTAAGGTTTATATTGTAAAATAATAGTCGTCTAATAGTTGGTGGTCGTAGATAAGAAAGCGGGTTTAGTGGATCGAGAGGCTCAGCGCTTCGGTCTTGAGCCCGAGCATGACGTCGCCGCAGCCGCGGACCGCGCGCCACTCGCGCACGTGCGGCGTGCACATGCCCATGCTCTTTCGCAGCAGCCCGACGCGATGCAGAGCTTGTCTTTCCGGTGGAGTTCGCAGAAGCCGCCGCCGCGGTCGGTGCGGACGCAGTCGCCGACCGTGCACGTTCGGCAGCCGCCGTGCTTGGCGCACTTGTTGCCACGCTGGGCGCCCTTCGTGCAGCCGGGCTCGACGCAGCGCTTGCCGCCGCCGTGGGTGCGGCAGAAGCCGCCGCCCTGCGAGCTCTTTTCGCAGTCCTTGAACTTGCAGCGGGCGCCGCCGCCGTGGGCCTTGCAAAGGCCCTGGGACTGCGCGGCGTTGGAGCAGTTGGGCACCTTGCAGCACTTGCCGCCACCGTGGCCGATGCAGAACTGGCCGTTCTGCGCTTCCTTGGCGCAGCCGTCCATGCTGCACTGCTTGCCGCCGCCATGGGACTTGCAGTAGCCCTTCGAGCGCACGTTGCGGAGGCAGCCGTCCATGGCGCAGATCTTACGGCGCGAGTGCGATGGCGTCGAGAGGTCGTCGTCCGTGTCGACGGTGCTCGTCGAGCTCGAGCTCGAGTTGCTCGTCGAGCGCTGCATCGCGAGCGGAAAGGCGTAGAGCGGCTCGACCTTGATGGCCGGCGGCTTGTGGTCGTAGTTGAACTCGCTGTCCAAGAAGCAGACGAGCTCCGGGTCGTCGAGGAAATGCGTGTTGTGGCCGTGCGCAAACGGGATTGGCTCGAGGGTAGAACATTGGTAGGGCATCTTAGTACTGCTGCAGCTGCTGTACTCGGCGCCGAGTGAAATGGAAAATGAGCTGCACACGTGTTGTCGTCGCGGCCAAGCCACTCTCGCAACATGTCGCTTCGCCCGATGTAAAGAAAACAGATGCGGTTTGAAACAGAAGATACTTTCAGATGAGGCCAGTGCTCTGCGATGGGTGCGCCGTGTCCAAGTGTACCGTACGACGAACGCCACGAGCTGAGAACACTGCGCGGCAGTGATCGCTATGCACGGCGAATAGGAAGCAGCCGCCGTCGTCCAGTCTTGCGGCCGCTCGGGTGATGAGGTCGCTACTCACACGTCGAGAAAAGATTCGCATATGCACTTGCGCGTGAGTCGCGACCCGCTGTCCTTGAAGCATTGGAACAATCGGGTCGGCCACATACGCTCGGGTCCACGTCGTCGCACTGAGGCCAGCACGCGCGCTGCAAACCACCTTTCGTCCGTTGAAGTCGCGTTGATATATCTATGTGCCACGCTGTCATGTCCATCAGGACCAGACGCGTGTCTTGCTTGCATTGCGCACTCGTTTACTAAAGAATACACGTCGCCGGTGCTTCTCCACGTGTACATCGCTGCAGCTGGTCGTCAATGTGTACAAGCTCGACACGTGTCGGCGATGCGCTCGCAACGGGAGGAAGCCGTACGGCACCAGTATCTGGGTTGATGCACATCAGGCGTCTGCAACGACGGACGCGATCCCGCGTTCTTTGCGTCTGGGATCATCTCCATAGCCACGCGCGCGGTCACAGACAGGTCGCTCCTACCGATCGCCAGCCGTCGGAGCACTGCGAGTCGACGAGCCATAAGCTCTCAGCGTTAGTCTTGTCCGGCGGGGTACTGGAAAGGTGTTGTCGACCAATCTCGACGCCACCATGATGGGTAAACCAAACCAGTCGCTCCACTGATGATGATGCGCGACCGAAAAGAGTAGCTTGGCGCGAATCTTCTGATTCCATGTGTCTCTGCGTGACACACCGCATGGTGAGAGGAAGATACCAAGCAAATCGCCGTTTTTCAGAAAGCCGGGGATGTATGCGTTTACTTCAAGTCGGCTTGTAGAGGATGCTTTGAAGAAGCGTTTCGGAGTTGAAGGGCGCAGTCCGAGGCCTTGGAGACAGCCTACAACTACGAGAGGTGCGTGGCGGGGTATCAACACGACGCCAGTTGCTTGCACGACGCGGCTGGGTGCGTTCAATGAATGCGCAGCCATACGTTCACGCGTGGGTTTCAAGGGGCGCACGCCTGCTGTCCACACGGATGGAATGGTCCCACTCTGGCGATATGGGATCTTGAAGAAGCGTTGATTCGATAGGTGGTTGTAGTAATGCAACGTGGCGCCAAGGTCCAAAGGGCAGATGGCGGGTGGAATCTCTCCAAGTCTCGACACTCTCTCGATGCGTGTCTAGGCACTGTATAGACGCCAAGCCGACGACGACACGCATGATGCGAGAGCCTGAGGAAAGGCCATCGACGCACCAGGTATCTACACCAGTCGATGATGCAAGAGGGTCGCTCGGTCGACGCATTCGATGGAAACCGTCAGCCCGGATCTCGCCTGCGACGGCCATGTCTACGGCCTTGCGATCGGTCGAGAGGGATACTACATGCAGCGAGGCCCCTTGGTGTGCAATGCGAGCGGTCGCAGTTATATATGTAGGAGGATACTCGCCGCACAAGCACAAGCTTCCTAGCACGAACCGAACTCGGCAAGCAATTACTGCGCTTCGTTTCGGCTGCGAGATGATATTGACTTCAACCGCGTGGTGTAGGTCGATGCACGTGTGGTCGGAAGCCGTCTGGGACTTCAACCGCCTGCAAAGTGCCAAGCTCGTGCAGTAATTTGAGCTCGAGACGACCAGGCAGAGCGGGGAAAGGACGGTAGGAATTGCGCGCGCCGATCATCGCAGCAGCGCCAGAGCCAAACGACCCAAGACGAGCAGTAACAGACTTGGATTGTTTTGGCGCGCATTACTGCAGTGGAGGATTGCTGTACTCGACCTTCACGTTGAGATTTTCTGGCTTGGGGTAGACGCACCAAGTGTATCGACGCTCAAATTGTGGACGTTCAGTACACCCAAGATGATGCCACCACAAACGTACACACGCAACACAAAAACAGGCTGCGAATCTCCTCACCCTGTGTTTGGGGTCGTCGCGCTCGCCTTAAAACGATGTATTAGCGTCGGCAGGAGGCAGCTTTCTCTTCCGTAGAGATGTCGTCGTCGCTCATGGCGGTGGTTGGTCCCTCTGCTCATGCTGCTCAGGTCATTGTCATGCGCCAATGTGCGCTCGCCACGCCCACAGCGCTGGTCAAATCACAGCAGCCCCAAGCACGTGCAAGGTCCAAGGTGGTGCCACTGGTGCAAGGCTAGACCCACCCAACTTGGAGGCGATCACGTCGGCAGCGTTCTCAGACTCTTTGCCGCACGCCGCAACGACGCAATGCGCACAGGATGCACGTGAATCTTGGTGGCCACATGGAAGAAGCTGCATCGCGGCCAACGACGGCGCGGCTGCGGTCGATGGGTCACTTGCCACCGTAGATTGCGTGTTTTTAGTGCTGTACCTGCCAGATGGTTTGAAGCTATTGGCCGCGAGGTGCAAAGTCGGACGATGCGGGTCTTGGTGGCGATCGGCTCCAACTTGGGTACGCATGGCGGCGACGACGACGGGCGCTGACGGCTGCGCGTAGGCGACCGCGCTGGTCACCTGCACCGCGCTGTGGACGCGCTCAACCAGCTCGCGGGCACGGTGCTCCAGACGTCGGCGCTCTACACGACCGTGCCGCAGTACGTCACGGACCAGCCGCAGTTCCTCAACGCCGTCCTCGAGCTCGAGACGACCTTGTCTGCCGTGGACCTTCTCCTCGTGCGTCGCTCGCCTTGGCCGTATGAGCGCGCTGATATGTCTGCGTGCCTAGTGCTTCAAGGAGATCGAGGTGCTTGTCGGGCGCACGCCGTCGGGTCTGCGCTACGGCCCGCGCGTGCTCGACGTGGACATTCTCTTCTATGGCGCCGACGTCATCGAGACGGCAACGGCCGTTGGACCCTTGCATGTTCCGCACCTGCTCATCCAGGAGCGCGACTTTGTCCTTCGCCCGCTGCTCGACATCGCCGCCGGTGCGTCGCGATTGTAAGGTAGCTGCGTCCACGCATTGAATGTGTAGATTTTGAGCACCCGCAACTGCACAAGACGATCCGAGAACTCTACAGCACGCTGCAAGCCACGACCGACATCGAGACGCCGCCCGTGCCCGTGCTCTGCCTCGGGCCGACGCAGCTCTGGGTGCTGCACGCCAAGGTGATATTCCATTCTTCTTGTCTAGCGACAGCGTCGAACGCAGTGCTAGACGTACGTCATGGGCATTGTCAACGCGACGCCCGACAGCTTTAGCGCCGACGGCATCGGCAACGCGCAGGTCGCCGTGGAGAAGGCGCTCGCCATGGTCGCTGCCGGCTGCGACATCATCGACGTCGGCGGCGAGTCGAGTCGTCCCGGCGCATCGCCCGTCTCGCTGGACGACGAACTCGCTCGCGTACGACTCTCCAGTGCGTGCACGTGCTGTAGATAAGAACGTCGTAGGTCCTTCCGGTCATTCGTGGCATCCGCGCCGTCTCGTCGATCCCGATTTCGATCGATACGACCAAGGCTGCTGTCGCGGCGGCGGCCATCGAGGTAGTGTCCCGGCGGCGTCCTTGCTTGGTCTTCCCACATTACGCAGGCCGGTGCGACGCTTGTCAACGACATTTCGGCGGGCCAGGCCGACGTGGCCATGCTTTCGACCGTTGCCGCGTTGAAAGTGCCGGTATCCGCTATGCTCGACCATCCGTGCGTCCATAGCTTGATGTGTCTAGTACATCCTCATGCACATGCGCGGGACACCGGCGACCATGACGTCCCTCAAGGTACGCCAGCTCCAGCGAGAGAGAGAGCGCGTCACACGGTGCTAGGAGTACAAGAACGTCGTCGACGACGTCGCGGCCGACTTGAGCACGCTCGTGGCGGCGGCGGTCGCGGCGGGGATTCCGACGTGGAACCTCGTCGTGGACCCTGGCATCGGCTTTGCGAAAGACAAGCACTTGAATCTGCAGCTCCTCCGACACGTGGCGACGCTCCGAGCGCGCTGCGCCCCGTGCCCCGTCTTGGTACATTCCAGCGCTTCGCCTCTGCGTGCTGAGCGTGCGAGTAGATTGGCG